GGCTTCACGTATCCCAGGGAGGCGTTTGACGGCCTTCTCTACGGAACCGGCGCAGGCGGCACAAGTCATTCCAATAACGGAGAAAAGAGCGGTGGAGTCTGAGAGCTCCTGGACGGCGGTGGCGGGCTCTCCCTTAGGGTATATAGGCATGGAGGGGTAATGAGGTCGCGGGGAGAGGTTGCGCCAGCAACTTAAAGCTAACAACTTGGCCATTACCAAAAAGTAGTATCTAGCGAGCAACACCACTCAGGTTTGCAAGATTGTCACTGATACCATTTCCAGGGAGGCTTTTGACTTTAAGCATACGAGGGAGATGCTATTTTAAGAATAAAAGAAAATATTTTATATATTGTTTAAAATAAAAAACATTATTTAAAATTAGAAAAAAATTACTTAAATAAAAGTTATTTTTGTAGGATATATAATAAAATATTTAATTTTATTTTTAAATTAAAAAATCTTTTTGAGATGATTCAACCTCTCTCTGCACTAACGTAACTATTTAATGAGGAAAAGGGAGCTCACCAGGTGAAATAGGGCTGTTTGCATCTGAACATATTGGTATCAAATAAATAATAATGATAATAATAATAATAATAATAATATTATTATTATTATTATTATTATTATTATTATTATTAGAAGAGGAGAGTTATTATTTGAGTTATTATATATTTTACTGTTTGTCATGACAAGTGATGCTGTAACTCTTGAAATCATTGATACACTAACATAAAAACATTTTTTAATTGTAATAATTTTCAATTTATTATATAAAAACTGGTAATTTATATTTTGTTTTATTATAGTTTCATTTTCAATTTACTATTAAAAATAATAACATTTTCATTTATTTAAAATTTATATTTTTAAAATTACGTAAATTGATATAAAAATAAAACAAATTATGAATATATGTGTAAAATATGATAAATTTATTTTTAATTTATATCTAATTTTTTTAATTTTTTTTATTAACCTAATTTTAAGATAACTATTTCATATTAAATTATATATCGATTTTAATTGATATTTATTTTTATTAAAAATTATAATAAAAAATATTTTGATCTTTCATTAATTTATCCGATTATTTATTTTTTAATTAATTTTATCATTTATTTTTACTTTTTTATTTTAATTTTTTCAATCTAAACAAATTTATTTTTCACTTATCTATCTATTAAAAAAATAGAAATTGTTTTATTTTAAAAATTAAAAAAGGTCAAAAGATTTATTTAATTGATTAAAAAAATAAAATAATAACCCAAATATTTTTTATAAATTCAATAAGAAAAAAATTGATATACGATGGAATATAAATAAAGTATTTAATAAAATAGATAAAAATAAATGAAAATATAATTAATTTATATATAAATTAAAAATAAACTTTTAATATTTGATAAATATATTTATACTTTATTTATTATTTTTATAATATTTTATAATTAATATTAAAATGTTTTTTTATTATATTAAGGTGTGATATTTTCTGTATGACTTTATAATGTAAATTAAAAGCATATTTTTACTTGAAAATGTGATTAATGTATTTATATGATAAAATAAATAAAAACTATTAAACATGTCATTTTTTACATTTTCTATTCAATAATTTTTTATCAAACCATTAATTATTAATATATAATTCATTCAAATTTAATAAAATAATATGACTTAAATTAGAATAGAATTAAATATGAAATAGTTATTTTATAACAAATTATAAATAATATGAAAAATTTATTTAAATGATTTTTAATTTTTTTAATAATTAATTAATATTATGAATTTAGTGTTGTTTCGTTTAACTCGAAATTACGTTTGAATTTATTAGATTTTTACATAAATTAAATAGTAGTGAAATTGATAAAACTTTATATTAATAATATAGTTTTAAGAAAATAGTGATAATTTGTTTTTTCCCTTTAAAAAAATTGTATATATTTTAGTGTTTATTTCTTTTTTTAATATATAATAATAATAATATATTTTAGTGTTTATTATTATTTACTTAAAATATAATTTACATAATTTTAAATAATAATTTAATAAAGATATATTTAATTAATCTTAACATAAAAGGATAAAAAAATTAAAATTATATTAAAGTAAACTCTTATAATTATTTAAATTATAGTATGCATATCTGAATATAATTAATTATGTATGGATATATAATTAATTATGTCTTTAACACATAATCTATTTTGTGTAAGTTATGGCTCAACGCATAAAAAATTAAATAATAAATATTTTATATAATAAATGTCTTTACAGGATACTCAATAATTTTTCTGAAAAATTGACTCAACTAAGATTAGTAAATATATTTTCCTATTCTCTCTCTTTTTTTTTTCTTTTTTTTCAGGCACGGTAACAGATAGAAACAAAGGCTAACAGACGCTGTTGTTCATGTCTTCACATGGCGTATCCTCTTGTTTTTTTTAGTTTGTGGGCCATTTAGTTACGTGGGCCTAACGCAACCTCGGGTTTTGAGCGAGTTAAAAGTTGGGCTTACGTAACCACTAACGAATATAAAATATTAAAACAGCAATCATTCCCTGGATTAAATTTAAACGGAATGAATTTGAACCAACCCACTGCCAGGTTCATAATTAGGGTTCTTCACAAAGAGGGAAGTCATATAGAATAATTTAATTGTATGGTCAATTTTAATTAGAATAATTGCCCGTACGTATAAACTCTTATATATATGAAAAATGATAGTTTCACTACCCACATTCATATAACTCTTTTAAACAATATTATTTTAATATTATAATAACAATTTTAATTTATTTTTATTTTTATTTTTATTAAATCATTCCATATATTATTATATTAATAAAAATGAGTTGTTTGAAGAGTTGTATGGTTTCTAATTGTCAAAATATCATCATTCTCTCTCTCTCTCTCTATATATATATATATATATATATATATATATTTTTTTTTTTGAAGATTTTATGGAATATGTTATATTTTATTATTCGTTGCTTATCCATATTTTTCATACTATACTCAGTTAGAAACGAGAGAGAACATTTTTAAACACTTGCATTGATGTATACCTTTTTCACGGTTTTCGGAAAGCATTAAAATGTGTCATTGGAACCTTTTGTCTTAATTGGGCCATCAGAGACGTCATGGATTACGTTTAGAGGCCAGCCAACCAAAGTTGACTTGGACTCTAGAATGAAAGCCCATTGAATAATAGGCTTATAAAATCAACACGTTCAGCAGGCCATGCCCACAATCCAAATCGTATTACTTGGGCCTTATCATATTGGCTTTGGGCTGTTTCTTCTTGCACCCTTATAAATAAGATAATTCTTTCTAAAACTAATTTTCAAATTAGCTCTTATTTGGATGTTTCAGAATATATTTCTGAAATCATAATTTTGTGAATGCGTTATAGAACACCGAATAAAAGATGTATTTCCGAATCAGCTAAACTGAAAATGCATTTTGAAACACCTAATCTAGAATATATTCTTGGAAAAGTCAATCTGAAAAAATATTTTTGAACCCCATTTTAAAATGTATTTTTGGATTAACTTTTATTAAAATGTAATTCAAATTGAGTTTTCCAAAACTCACTTTCAACTTTAAAATATACGTTATTGATTGAGCAGTTTGAACTTCTATAGTCATTTCTAATCTAATTTTCATGTAATAGATACAAAATATTTATAATTTCTCATCTTATAAGCAGAAATAATAAAAGTGAAACTACAACAAAACAAATTTGCACAAACTATAAAGGTTCATAGGAGATGTGAATGTGCAGAGGAACAAAAGACAAAAAAAACTCTTAGATTTTAAACAAAAATTAGAGAAAAGAGTATTTCAACTATTATACATATAAGTTATGGAGGTGCAAGGAAAAAACTATTGGGTGCAAGAAGTAATAGCCTAGCTTTTTATTCTATGAGATTGATTGATGAAGGATGGTCCAAATCTTTTGGGCCCAACTCCAAATTGCCGAGCGCACTTAAAGCCGAATGTAGAATCCGCGTCTTTAAAAACAACAAATAGACAGTGACAATTATAGTTTATTACCCAGTCTGATAAGATAAGAGTTATCACTCAATTTACATTAGGTCCTGGCCTGGTTAGATTATGTCATTAATCACTGAGTTTAAAAAAATCACCAATTATATTTTTCTCTAAAATGAAAAAGAAAGTAGTTAAAAAATATTTTATCCCCTAGTTTAATTGGATACTTATTGGTTATTTGGGACATGACTTCTCTAATTAAGGCTTCTCCTAATTTGGAACATCTAATTAAAATTAAGGTTGGTGCATGGCATAGACTTGGAAGTAAAATAGATTGCAACAGACTCATCCATTAATTTCTCAGCCACTTTCTATTCCCTACCCGCAATCTTAGTCTTCTCAAAGTTCCACCTCTAGTGGTTCCCAAAAACAAGGATCTTTATCTTCTATTTCTCTCCATAATTTTCATTTGAGTCTGTTGCTCCCATTTCCAATCTCCATTGCTCGCACCCCTTTCTTTTCATACACTTTTCAAAGGGCGCTTCTTCCTCATTGCTGGCAAAATGGTATTTTAGTATCCGTTTGCACTTCTTTATCTTTCAAGCTATTAGTTGTATGATACTTGTTTCTGCTTTGTCATTAATTATAGGGTTCTTCTTACCCTCCTTCCAAAATACTCCACATTTCATGTAATTAGGTAGATTTTTGACTTCTGAAGGTGAAACTTGGTAGCAGATAAGATCGATCATGTCTAGGAGAATGAAAAGGCATTTCATCATGTGCATGCATGCGTGCCCCTACAAAATTAACTATTGTAAAATGATGACGATACCAACTTTTTACTTTCAACGTTTCTTAATGTCTAGTATACATTCAGAGAGAAGGAACTTAAAGCAAATTTGCGTGTTGTGACATGTGAAGAAGAATGAGTAGAATTGTTAAATGATAAGCCATTTTATGAAAAAATTATGGAGCAGGCAAATTCAGCGTCCGGAATGGCTGTGCATGATGACTGCAAATTGAAGTTCCAGGAGCTTAAAGCAAGGCGGATCTACCGATTCATTACGTTCAAAATTGAGCAGCAACAAGTTGTGGTTGACAAAATAGGGGGACCGACAGAAAGCTATGAAGATTTTCAGGCCAGTTTGCCATCTGATGAGTGTCGTTATGCCGTCTATGATTTTGATTTCACAACCGATGAGAATTGCCAGAAAAGCAAGATCTTCTTCGTTGCATGGTACTATCATCCTTAACGTATATACAAAACTGCACTTGGTTGATAATTAGAGTCACTTGGCCACAATAAAAACCAGAATCATTTTTCTAACCTTAGTATTATATTCTAGGTTCTAGGTAGTAATGCAAACATCTTAAGACTAATACTTGTGGTTGAACAACCTGTTTAATACTGTTTGTGTGTGAATGAGATACACTGTGTGCAGGGCACCGGACACTTCAAAGGTGAGGATGAAGATGGTGTATGCAAGTTCCAAGGATAGGTTCAAGAGGGAACTGGACGGCATTCAAGTCGAACTGCAAGCAACTGATCCAAGTGAGATGAGCTTGGACACTGTAAAAGCGCGTGCCCTCTAAGTCTCCCCCTTTCGCTGTCTCAGCTCTCCTTCACGGTTAAAAGTTAACTTTTTTTTCCTAACTGTCTGACAACATCGGGGGCCATTGTGTTATTTTTATTTTAGCCTGGATTCAACAACTACAAATCCAAACTGGCATGTATTATTATAATGCATCTGTCTTCCAAACATTCTTCAGTTTTCCATTAATGTTGGTTAGTTTCAAGGGACAATGTGTGTGGCTGTATCAAGATCAAGTAACATATATTATAGGTTGCTGGCCTGACAAGTTGCCAACCAAACCACTTTTTTTTTTTCACTTGGAAGAGGATTTTATGTAAAAACATTTATTATTCACCCCTTCTTTTACTTCTCTTTGAAGTAGATCAAGGGCGCGGCACATTATATGTTTTTTTTTTCTTTCAAAATGTTATATAATTTATATGCTGAACTAACAAACAGGGTTATGATTTACATTAATGCAACCATAAGAAATCACTAAATGCCAACCTATCTTCACGAATTCAGTATTCACGCTCTCCATTGCCTTGATGACAGAAGTTAGTTAGTGGTAAGGTACCCGACAACTGGGTAACAGAATAAGATTTCCAAAACAACTTATAAGCACCGCTTCAGCTTTGTAAGAAGTGATAAGAAAGAATTTTTCAGGTAAAATGGTATATTATTGATTATTTCTCATATATCAATTAAAATTACAATAATGTGTTTATACACAGTCTCACTATTTTCTTAATGTTAAAGATATCACTAATATCAAAATATTCCTAAAAATCCTTAATTATTTTCTTATTATTCTAATAAACTATTAAAACTAATTATCTTATTATTTAATTTTATCCCAACAAAATTCTTCTGTAAAATTAGATCTCTGTAACAAAAATTGATATCGGTTTGACCGATCTCCCAACCCCCAACTTGCTGTCTTTAAAAACTTTCCGCATTTCTAACTTAGCCGACTTGTCATCTCCTTGAGTATCCCAAATTCTTTCTATCATTCATCTCAATGAGTCTCTTGCAATTTTCATATATTAGTAACTTGATCTCAGCTCAGCACATGTACGAGTTTCACATTTCCTTTCTTCACATGTTTTCGCATAAAGTGAAAATGTACATCAATGTACTTACTCCTTTCATGATTGATCAGAATTTTCGCCAGTTTAATGACCAACTTGCTATCAACTTGGATTACAGTTGCCCCAAGTTGTTTCTCCTCCACCGATCTTAGCAAATTTCTAAATTGCATTGCACGACACAAACTCCACGATGCTGCTATGTACTCGGCTTCACAAGTTGACAATATTACTATAGGTTGCTTATAAAAAGCTAGGTAAATATCGTGTTACCCATGAAGAATACATATCCCGATGTACTTTTCTGATCATCCACATCTCCACACCAGTCACTGTTCGAGTGTTGGGTAATTCAAGTGTGAGTTAAGTCCCACATTGAATAAGAATGAAAAAGTTGAGCAACATATAAGGATGTATAACCCATTACCTAATACCTTAAGGTTTTTGGTTGAGAGTGGTGTCAATTCCTTATGTGGTTGGGCTTAAGTCTCATTGGTTGTGTTTCTTCCTTGTGAATCTCTCATCGAAAGATCCAACAAGTGGTATCAGAGTTATTGGTGTGGTTTATTGAGGACTTGGGTTGTTGTGAGCCAGAGACTTGGTTGAGTTTTGTGTGTTCTTTTCCTTTCTAGTACCCAACAAAGGTATCAGAGCCGAAGGTTGATCGACAGTGGGTGTTTAAGAGTGGTCCTTGTATCGAAAATCTTCTTGATAAAGATATCAAGTAAGCATGTCCCGTTATGATGAATGACGGTACTTGAAAGGGCCACTAGTGTGCTCGAAGGGATGTACCAATGTGGAGGGACTCACACTTGAGGGGGAGATTGTTGGGTAACCAAGTGTGAGTTAAGTCTCACATTAAGTAAGAATGAGAAAGTTGAGCAACATATAAGAATGTATGACCCATTACCTAATGTTTTAAGGTTTTGGGTTGAGAGTGATGTCAATCCTTTATGTGGGTTGGACTCAAGTCTCATTGGCTGTGTTTCTCCCCTGTGTCTCGCATCGAAAGACCCAACATCGAGTACCCCATAAATCAATAATTGTCCAACCTCTTTGTCCCTAAATCTATGGGGGTTGATACCAAATTACAATCGGTCATCTTGAACTTATTCAGAACCTCGCCGAGTATAAATCGGTCGGTAATTTGGTCATCACCAACATATCATTGTGTTCTTTAACTCGACCCTTCTCATCCATAACAACTTTGATTTTCTCTTTAATATCAACTCGAACCTTCTCGTCAATAAGAGCTCGAATATGATCACTTCGGAATTCACTACTCGTACTTAACTCGAATTTCTCTCTATACTTAGCATTATTCTGAAGTAGAATCCTCGCCTTTTTACCGATTACTCATTTGCAAATTCTCCCTTTCATACTCGGCAATCTAAGCACCATGCTCTTCATGTTTTTCTTCAACTTTACTGATTCAGTTATCTTTCCTCCTCGATTTTTTGAACTTGTTACTACAGGTGGTGTAGAAACTCGGGCTCTATCATCCTTTTCAACTCACCATTTTTCATCACGCACAACCTATGACCTCCTTCTCTCTTTCCGATTTGATAACAGCTGGTAGAACATTAGCTTACCCTACTCGATCTCTTTCACTTGCATCACCAACTCTGACAATATCATGATTATCATCATGAATTAACTCGGTTAAACCACAAAAATGCATGTGACCAGATCGGTAATTTTCCTTCAACATGTCCTCTACATTTGATCTTAGACTTCTCTCCCGAATGTTTCTCAACTGCAATTTGTATATTCTATTCTTTCTCATCTCTACTCGAACAATCAACCTTCCAAGTTTGTCCTTCAATTCTAGTATTCAGTCTTTCATGATACCAATTTGATAACAAAGAATTTCTCAAAAACTGTAAAACTGTATATTATTGATTCTTTGTCATATCTCAATCAGAATTACAATAGTGTATTTATACGTAATCCCAAGATCTTCCAAAACCTGCTAGGTAAACCTTAAATGCATGTGGTTGAAAGGTAGTTGTTATAGAGGTAGTAGTTGAGAGGTAGTAGTTATATTGAATGTATGTAGTTGAGAGATAGTGGTTGTATTGAATATATGTAGTTGAAAGGTAGTAGTTGTATTAAATACATGTAGTTGAGAGGCCATATCCAAAGGCCTATAAATTGAACATGTATCACTCATTGCAAAAACATTGCAAAAACATCAAGTGATAATATACAGAGTGCTTTATTTAGATACTTGTTTGTCAACAAATTGACATCAGAGCTTGAGAGCCTGAGTGTCTGAGTGCGTTAGAGAGAGTGTTTGAGAGTTAGAGAGTTTGTTTGAGATGACCAACTTAGCTAACAGCATGCCCCTGCCAAAGTTATCGAAAGGCGTAAGCTATGATAACTGGAGCATGCAAATGAAGGCTCTCCTTGGTTCCCAAGAAGTATGGGATGTGGTCGAAAATGGGCACCAAGAACCAGAGAATATTGAAGAGCAGACGATTGTTCAGCTTGCTGCATTGAGAGCAACACGAGTAAAGGACAAAACGGCTTTGTACGTACTGCACCGAACTGTTGATGAGTCCGGCTTTGAGAAGATAGAAAATGCTAAATCTTCAAAAGAAGCGTGGGATATTCTGGAGAAGGCAAATAAAGGGGATAATCGCGTGAAGCAAGTCAGGCTTCAAACTCTTAGAGGCAAGCTTGAAAGCATGAGGATGAAAGAGGTCGAAGGGGTTGCCGAGTACATCTCCCGTGTTGAGACCGTGGTGAATCAACTCGGAAGAAATGGAGAGACGTTGCCCACTTGCCGAGTGGTGGAGAAAATCTTAAGGTCGTTAACTGACGACTTTGAGAATATTGTTTGTTCAATAAAAGAGTCCAAGGACTTGTCGGTGCTCTCGGTGGAAGAGTTTGCCGGGTCGCTTGAAGCGCATGAGCAGCGGAGAAGGAAGAAGAAAGAGGAGTCCCTTGATCAAACACTCCAAGCAAAGGCAACCTTAAAGGAGAAGAAGGTTCCTTATGCTTAGAACACTCAAAGCCAAGGTGGTAGAGACAGAGGAGAATATGAAAGAGGCAAGGAACAAGTTAGTCAACAAAACTGGCGTGGCCGAAGACAAGGTAGAGGTCGTGATGGTAGAGGCCGAGGTGGTCAATCAAGCAATTCCGGAGTTGAGTGCTTCAACTGTGGGAAGTACGGTCATTTTGCTAAGGACTACTATTCAAGTATCAAATGTTATAATTGTGGGAAGGTTAGGCATTTCGCGAAGGATTGCCGATCTGAGAGGAAGAAGGAGACAAACCTCCTCTCTGAGAGGAAGAAGGAGACAAACCTCCTCTCTGAGGATACTGAGGAAGAAGGAGTATTGATGATGTCGAGAAGTTCGGATGTCGAGCTAAGTCCGAGCTGTTCTGACAACTCGGTTTGGTATCTTGATACAGGAGCAAGTAACCACATGTGCGGGGACAAGAACCTTTTCAAGGAGCTCACTAAAGTTGAGGCCGGACACGTATCATTTGGAGATGCATCAAAGGTGGCAGTAAAAGGCAGAGGTACAATCTGGTACCTACAGAAGAATAGCCGAGTTGGAGAAATCAGAGACGTGTACTATGTACCCGATCTCAAAAGCAACATATTGAGCATGGGTCAGCTGATGGAGAAAGGCTACTCGGTTCTGATGAAAGACCGAGTACTATACCTGAAAGACAAGTCGGATCGTTTGATTGCCCGAGTAAAAATGAAGAAGAACAGAATGTACAAGTTGGACTTGAAGATAGTCCAAGAGAGGTGCTTGAAACTTGACGTGAAGGATGAAGCAATGATGTGACACTTTCGGTTTGACCACTTGCACTTTGGCAGGCTGACCAAGTTGGTAAAGAAAGAGATGGTGCGAGGACTCCCGTCTATGGAATTTGAAAAGAAATTTTGTGAAGAGTGTGTGCTCGGGAAGCATCCGAGGACCTCATTTCCGAGGACGACTGAGTACCGTGTAAAGGAACAACTCGAATTGATTCACATAGATCTTTGTGGACCGGTTACCCCTGAGTCCTTCAGTGGGAAAATGTATTTCATTTCTTTTATAGATGATTTTTCAAGAAAAACCTGGGTATATTTTTTGAAGGAGAAATCCGAGGTGTTTGAGGTGTTCAAAAGATTTAAAGCAATGGTTGAGAAAGAGACTGGCATGCCTATCAAATCTGTTAGGTCTGATCGAGGAGGCGAGTTCATTTCATCCGAACTCATGAAGTATTGCGAGAAGCAAGGGATAAGGAAATTTCTAACAGCACCATACTCACCCCAACAAAACGGAGTTGCCGAGAGGAAGAATCGAACCATTCTTGACATGGTTCGAACAATGTTGAGAAGCAAAAACGTGCCAAAGGAGTTTTGGGCAGAAACAGTGCAATGTGCCATCTATGTGCAAAACAGATGTCCACATGCTAAGCTGAACGAGAAGACACTGCAAGAAGTCTGGAGTGGAAGAAAACCGAGTGTGTCTCACCTTAAAGTGTTCGGTAGCATAGCTTATGGTCATGTTCCAGCTCAACAGAGGACCAAGCTCGAAGATAGAAACAAAAAGTACGTGTTTATTGGGTATGATGAGAAAACCAAGGCGTATAGGTTGTTTAACCCAATAACTAAGAAGGTCATCATGAGCCAAGATGTTCAAATTGATGAAGAAAGCGAGTGGAGTTGGAACAACTCGGAGAAGGAGTCCATAGGAAGTAGAAGCTCGGAAGTTGATACACCACATACTGTGAGAGATCACGAGACTTCTGATGAAGAAGATGAACCTCTACAGCCTAGAGCGCGAAGTTTACAAGATATATACAACTCCACTGACAAAGTGCATGTTGTATGTCTCTTGGCAGATTCAGAAGACTTAAGTTTTGAAGAGGCCGTGCAGGAGAAAAGGTGGAAAAATGCAATGGACGAGGAGATCGGGGCAATAGAACGCAACAACACATGGGAGCTGACTGATTTGCCCAAAGGAGCGCGGTCTATCAGCGTAAAGTGGGTGTACAAGAAGAAGACAAATGCTGAAGGAGAAGTTGAGCGATATAAAGCTCGACTCGTAGTGAAGGGGTACAAGTAGAAAGAAGAAATAGACTATGACGAAGTATTCGCCCCAGTGACGAGAATGGAAACAATTAGGCTGCTGATTTCCTTAGCAGCTCAACACAGATGGACAATCTTGTAGATGGACGTGAAGTCGGCATTTCTGAATGGAATCTTGGAGGAGGAAGTATATGTTGAACAGCCACTCGGATACATGCGAAGAGGAGAAGAGAAGAAAGTGTTGAGATTGAAGAAGGCACTTTATGGCTTGAAACAAGCTCCACGAGCCTGGAATGAAAGAATTGACACTTACTTCAAAAGAAATGGATATGAGCAGTGTCCTTATGAACATGCTCTATACATAAAGAAGAAAGGAGAAGATGTGATGTTTGTTGCCCTATATGTTGATGACCTTATCTTCATGGAGAATAATGCCGAGCTAATTGAAGAGTTTAAAGAAGTGATGAAGAAGGAGTTTGAGATGACTGACTTGGGTCTTATGAAGTATTTTCTTGGCTTAGAAGTTGTTCAGGGAAAGGATGACATCTTTGTGTCGCAGGAAAGGTATGCTGAGGAGGTCTTGAAGAAGTTTAAGATAACAAGCTGCAACCCGGTTTCCACCCCTATGGAACCTGGTACAAAACTTTCTAAGTATGCAGATGGAGACCGAGTTGATGCAAGCAAATACCGAAGTCTGATTGGAAGTCTTAGGTATCTTACAAATACCAGACTAGATTTAATGCTAAGTGTTGGAATAACAAGTCGGTATATGGAGGAGCCAAGGTATACTCATTGGAAGGCACTAAAGATAATTCTAAGGTATGTGAGAGGAACAGCGTCACTTGGCCTAATGTATACTAGGAGGGATGATTACCGACTAGTAGGCTACTCGGATAGTGACTGGTGTGGAGATGTTGATGACCGGAAAAACACGTCTGGATATGTATTCTTCATGGGAAACACAGCATTCACCTGACTTTCAAAAAAACAGCCCATTGTAACGTTGTCAACTTGTGAAGCCGAGTACGTTACAACATCCTGGAGTGTCTGTCATGCAGTTTGGCTTAGAAACCTTCTAAGCAAGCTCGAGTTGAAGCAAGAAAAAGGGACTATGATTCGAGTTGATAACAAGTCGGTCATTGAATCGGAAAAGAACCCGGTCAATCATGAGAAAAATAAGCATATTGATGTTCGGTTTCACTTCATCCGAGAACAAGTGAAAGAAGGAAATGTGGAGCTAGAGCACGTCGGAACCCGAGCACAAGCGACAAATATGTTCACGAAGCCACTGCCAACCACTCTGTTCGAGAACAACAAGAAGATGCTTGGAATGAAGGACAAGAAAAACATTTAAGTTTATGTGGGGATTTTGTTAGGTAAACCTTAAATGCATGTGGTTGAAAGGTAGTTGTGATAGAGGTAGTAGTTGAGAGGTAGTAGTTGAGAGATAGTAGTTATATTGAATGTATGTAGTTGAGAGATAGTAGTTGTATTGAATATATGTAGTTGAAAGGTAGTAGTTGCATTAAATACATGTAGTTGAGAGGCCATATCCAAAGGCCTATAAATTGAACATGTATCACTCATTGCAAAAACATCAAGTGATAATATACAGAGTGCTTTATTTAGATACTTTGTCAACAAAATCAACTAATAATTGCCCAAGATATCACCAATATCAAAATGTTCCTAAAAACTCCTAATTATCTTCTTATTATCTTTTTATTCTTATAAACTTTTAAAACTAATTATCTTATTATTTAATTTTATCCCAACAAAAATAACTCTCATAAAGTTATAACATACATCATAATAATCTCTGAAAAATACGTGGGAAAAGGGTCCAAGACACATAACGCATTCTCGGTACACAAAGGAAACTCTGTCCAATACAATCTTGTTCTATTTAACAATTCTGGACTTGGACTAGTCCACTAGTTCTATACAACGAGATCCTCTAGTGCCGAAAGCCAAACACATACTTTTTTGAGCAATTATTTACAAAAGAAATGAAATTGAAGAGTAGGAGAGAAGGAAGAAAGTAGTCAGAAAAAGTATTACTTGTGTGTATGTTTGTCTTAGTATAGATCTGTTAATATTTTTAGTTTGACTATACATCAAGATAAAAGTGCAAGTTCGGCCCAAGCCAAAGATGATGACTTAAGCTCCACGCTTACTGACGTGTCGATTCTGCTCTCCAGCATGCTACATATTTCTCGCATAGATGGATGCGCAGATTTATCAGGGTTCATACAGAGAGTTATTACCTCGCATATCACTTTGAGGTCTTCATGTCTAAAATGTTTCAGTTCAGGATCCACCACGCGTGACATTTCATCTCCCCTTTCAAGGTAGTCCTTGGCCTGCAGCACAAACATTCATTTAACAAATGCGGCTTGAGTAAAAATGCACACCTTTTCAAGGTTGTGTGAGGCTTTTAAACATCAAATTTCGGTAAGTTACTCACCCAGTCAACCAAGTATCCTTTGTCCTTGCAGTATGGAGGTCTCCCGCTGATTAACTCCAACAAAAGTACCCCAAAAGCAAATATATTTCCTTTGGTATCAAGGTGGCGTGCTTCAAGGGAGTTTGGAAGAACACAGATAGCACCTTGGCTGCCAATGGAACCAGAATTCTTCTCTGATCTTTCAAGAATTGTCTTCCAACTTTCGAAATCAACCAACTGCAATTCAGGTTCATTACAATGAATAAGCAAGCTTTTGGATCTCCAACACATTATACTATATAAACAGAGGTGCATTTTACTCTATTTCTGCTCATTCTTGACTGCAAGAAGATATGCCCACAACTGTAATTGGTAAATTTGAAGATTTGAACCAGCTCGTGTGCGCACCTTAGGGGAAAATTCTTCTGTAAGGTATACAGCACTAGAATTCAGCTCTGAGATAGTAAATGGAGGCTCCACTTCGGTATGCAAATACTTGAGTCCACGTGCAATGCCTATGGCAATCTTCATACGCCGTGTCCAAGAGAATTGACATCCTTCTTCATCTGCAGTCATAATTGCATGTTGAGGGAACTGAAAAATGTTACTACTTACATTTACATGTACACCATTTGATAAACTTGACTTACAACAATGTAGGTGATCATGAAGTGTCCCATTTGAAGCATAATCAAAAATCAACATCCTTGTAAATGGAGTATCCTCTCTACAATAGCCAAGTAGTTTTCCTATATTATCATGATTTAACCTAGCCAAGTCTGCCACCTGAATGACATTAATAGCATAAATACATATTATAAGATACTGGACAAATATTCGTCTGCAAATTCTAGCAAGCTGTTGCGAAAGTAAAATTTCCATTTACCTCTCTCTGAAAATAGAGCTCAAGATATCCTGTCCATTGCTCCTCCTTGATGCAGAGGGAAATCACAGCAATCTCAGGCCCACCTTTCATTGTTCCCTTGTAAACCACACTGTCTGGTGAGGACCCAATTATGTTGCTGAAATCTTCACAGGCCACTTCAAGCTCTTGTCTGCTATACCTTCTCACATCTTTCAACATCTCGAGGTCTGCACATTAATAGAGCCAATTATGTTGAAAACAGCTCTAGAACTATCAGATGTAAATAGAAAGTTGGGAAAAAAGAATCTACATACCTATATATACCGCTGTTTGATCTTTCTGGCTTCCAGATTTTTTCCAAGGAATAATTATAGATGATTTTTTGTTACATCTCTGAAAAGCAGCAAGAATAGCAACCAGAATGAGAGAGCCCCCCATAGTTCCAGTTACTATTTCAAGAGCCAAAAGCCAAACAGGTTTTGATGCTCCGTGATGATTGGACACATATTCAGCAGTTTGGTGGCCTGGATTCACAACTGGCTGGCTCTTGGCACTGGCAGGTGAAGCACCCGCTATGAAATTATAGTTCAACGTTAGATACATAATTTAGAAAGAGCAAGTATTATCCAGTGTATATTGAATTTGACAAAATTCTTATCTATAAATAGTACATAGATCAATTCTCGGCTTGGGTTTTCAAAAGTGGAACAAAAAGTTAGTATCCATGAAAGCCACTTCACAATAAAGTCAAGACTCGGCTCATTTAATTTCTTGTGCATGATTCAAATTTTATGAGTTGACTAGGAAGAGAAATTTAATTCCTGCCTTCAATCTTGAGTTCTTGAAAGGTAATGTCAATGCATACCACACTGTATAGAAGGTCGCTGCTTTAAATCCTGGCTCTGGATGCAATTCCCTTGAAAGCTTAACCTGCTAGACATAGTATATGTTTACTAAATATGGCAGAAGAGTAGAATGTCAATGTGACCAGGGTATCAAAAAAGTACCTCGGAAGATGCTCCAAGCATTTGGGTATGCTACCCACTAAAAAATTATATGAGAAGTCCGCTACTTGCAACTGAGATGAACGACAGAGTCCAGTTACATTCTCCTTTGATGCATACCTGAATTAATTATACAAATTTATTAGAGACAGATTAACAAAATTCAAGTTTTGACTCTGACTGCATGTTTTTAAGCCACAGCAGATATAAGCTCTTTTCATAACCCAAAGGACATTTTCGTCTTCCTAATGAAATCCTTTTTCATATTGAATGTCTCCTGAACATGTTGAAAACTTGACACTCCTGAACATGTATCTAAAATATCTCCTTCACAAACTGTGAGATTTTCCAACACCCTCTTAATAGATGCCTACCAAGCCAGGTGAGCTTATTAGAATAGGCAAGAACCAAAATGAACGATAAATTCTGATACTATATCATATTTCAACTTAATACCAATTGACATTCAACAAAGTTACCAACAGATATATAAGCTGCATTCCAAGAACTGAGATAGGAAATGTGAGACTTCCCAACATAATTGGTATTAAATTCTTGGAGTGTAACTTATATATCTACTAGACAACTTCACTTAATTTTGATTTTTTAAGTTGAAATCTGACATAATTTACATCAATTAAATGCATACAAGACCAAAATGAAGATCAAATACTATCTTGTCTAATCATTGCTACATACAACATATATAAAGGTGCCCCACACTCCTATAGTCTACAGCAATACTCTGAAAAGGGAGTGTTTATCAACAACATTAGGAAAGAACTACATGAATAAGAATAATGAATCGCTGACCAAACTATAACAACTCAATCATAAAATTATACTTACATCCCACGCATATTTGAATCAAAATGAGAGCTACCGCCAGCAGGAATAGGTCCTTGAAGTCTATTCCTATCCAGCCGAAGTTCTTGAAGGAATCTTAAGTTTCCAAACTCAGGAGGTAGCCTACCAGTTAAGCCATTGGACTGCAAGTTTCTACAAGAATGAAAACAAATTTGAATAAGTAGGAGAGTCGATAACTTTTTCTATTCAGGAAGTTCATACTGAATTTCTTTTACATTTTCACAACTTGAATTAGATTTCCAATCTCTGGAGGAATTGGTCCTGTTAGCTGATTCATTCCTAAATCAAACACCCTGAGATATTTCAACAAGCCCAACTCTCTAGGTATTGTTCCAATCAGATTGTTCCCGTGCAAAATTCTGTATAAACAAGTGAACAAGAAATCAGCTTCAGCCACGATATTCCATAACCAAGACAAGTAATAATCACAAAATGACTAAGCCAAAGGTTTTCACTTTTCAGGGTGAAGTACGGCTAGGTGAAAGGATGAACATACAGTTCTTGCAAGTAGGTGAGTTGCCCCAACTCTGGTGCAAGAAACCCCTTTAGTGATGATCCGGATATGTTTCTGCAAAGAAGAATCCCAAACTTTAGTGCTTAGGATGGGCTACCTTAGAAATTCACGTCATCAGCCATGTCAGATAGCAACTGTACACCCCATCAACAACAACAGAAAAAGCACCAGCCAGAAAAGATTAGTAATATCTTACAGATTGATGACATGATCTCGAACCATAGTGCAGGTGACGCCAAACCAGTTACAAGGATCTGATTCTACCGTATCCCAATTGGACAAAACTTGAAATGGATCTTCATAAACAGCTTCTTTAAAGCACCTAAGCGCCCAAACTATCAACAAAAGAAAGAAACGATGCAAATGTTTCATTTAATTGCTACGAACACCGTAATAAAAACTTGGATAGCTTTTGCCAAGACAAAAATAAACCACGTCCATGAAAAGCAAAACGAATCACACAATCTCGATACTTGCAAGTTCACGCAAAAAATAGAGCTACCTACCAATCATTGCTACTTAATTACACCTAACACACTACCTTAGAAGAAATTAAACAATCAACAAGGTTTTGGAAGCAGAAAAACATGGCATAACGTGAGTGGATAACTGAGATCTGAAAAAGAAAGTGAATTCTCCAACAAAACACATACCTTCATTTGAGGGCACAGTGTTAGAAGCCACGAAAGCGAGCGTGGAAATCAAAGAGAGATACCACAATGAAGTACATGGGTTCATCTTGTTTTGTTAACCACTCACCACTTCAGTTCTATCAAACAAAATTCAAAAAACACAGTCCAAGAATGAGTATAACTCATGAGAAACAAGACTAGGTGGGAAGCGGGAAACTGCAACTAAGTTTAAAAGGTTCTAAAAATCTGCATTGTGTGCTACTAGATGGTTGGTTTTGCAGCAAATAAAGAATGAAAGGTAATAGAGAGTGAAGAAAGCAGAGTTTAAATCCAAGATTCGGCAACTACCGGTGGAAAGAATAACCAACTAGCAGCTGGTTGGAATGAGAGACAGAGAAAACTAAAAGTGAGCAAAATTGTTTGGGTGACAACGACAATGGACTCAAGCCATTGCAGAATGAAAACTTGGATTGAAAGAGAGTTTAGCCAACAAGCAAGTACCAACAATTAATTTGATTACGATTGCCACATACCCATAAGCTGTTAAAGAGAGCCCTTTTTATTTATGTCAAGAAAAAAATTAACACAAGAGAGAAAGAAAAGATGAAACATGATAAACAAAGAGAAAATTAAGGCATAAAAAAGTAAAGGTGTTATATTTTTGGGTTCATAATAAAATACGTTCAAAATGGCCATTTATGCTGCAAAGACAATTCTTCTCTTCTTATTTTCTTTTCTGCTTCGTCTAATTAATTAATTAATTAATTAGAGTGATTAGTAAAAGGGTGTGGTAATTGATGATGGAGTGGGGCTTGAATTGAATAGTATTACTAAACTATATCGTGAAGTTGGTGAAGGAAGAAATTGATATCTCAACGTTTTGGATAAAAGTCGTTCTATGTTAGTCAACAACACTAATGTAGGTTAAACAACGATCAACCATAAATTACGAGATGTTCAAACTCCAAGGGATTACTCTTCTTCCAAATAATGACAAAATTTCTGTGAAAGTGCACAATGCTTAATTTAGTAGGGTTTTTTTTTTTTTTTTTCATCTTGTGTTCTATCAAACATGCATATTCAATCTATTTCACAGTTTTCTTTTCCTTTTCGTGAAGAGTTTTTCTTGAAGAACATTGTCCTTATTTTTATTCATTAAAAACGTTATTTTCTGTCAAATTTGATCTGTTACAAAAAGGTTATCACAAGATTGCGATACATAAAATATCGAAATTATTTTGTACCGTGATTACTGGTCGGTTTAATATTTTATTATATAAAGTACTATTAACAAAAGAAAAGTGCTTTTTTAAAAAAGCAGAAAACTCTAACAAAATTCCACAGTTTCCAGTTGTTCTCCAACAAGAACCAAACATATTCTAACCTAGAAATATAACAAACCCCACCTCTTGTTTTCCTGATTATATTTTTGAATATCAACAGAGGACTTATACCTAATAAAGATTTTCATCATCATCATGCATCTTCAGGTTAAATTTTACTTAATTTAATGTTTACTCCTCTGTCTTCATGTTTATGTCTCCTGTTATTGTTTAGTTAGTCATTAATTTACTTTGTTTTATGGCTAAAACAATAAAGCATTGTGGATAAAATTAATTGATTAAATATGTTGTGAATTTTATTTTAATTGATTTTTCCCACCTTTTCGTTACTCTGATATGCTTATATTTTTGACTGGTGTAAGGGCAAAGTGTCTTTCTCTACACATGATAGGGGTTAACAGACAAAACGAGATCATTTTTTAACCCTGAAAGGACCACCTAATGCTTCCAAGCAAGACATTCTAAGAGTTGGAGTATATTTTCAGGAAGAAAAAAACCTCACCGTCATCATTTGAATGCTAAGTTATGCTTTAAAAAATCATAATAGAACAAAATATCATCTATTAGAAATCATCCAAAAAAAAAAAAAGGAAAATTAGTTTAGTACTAGATATTGGTAATTAAAGGTCAATAATGGTTATCAAATTAATCAGACTAGTTCAATTTTTTCTGATTTTGGACTTAAGTTATAAAAACGAAATTTCATAAATAGACAAACATTTGTGTTAGAAAAAAAAAATTAAGTATGAAAGTTAAAAAGCATATCACATTTATTTGTAGTCTTAATTACTTTTTCACTTCAAATTTTTACTAATCAAATTTAAATTCAATTCCAAAAAAAAAAATATACATGCAACGCTTTTAATAGTTAATATTTTTATTTGATGACTCTTCTAATATTAGTTATATTATAGTTAATAACTTTTGAAATGGAAAAATATTAGTAATATGTTTTTCAATATATTATTTTAAAATTATTTTTTATTATTGATTGGAATTTGTAAAATTTATTTCTTATATAATTACTTTGTTAATAGATGAATTTAGATTTATATTAATAGGAGAAGAAGATTTTACTTCGTCTACGTGTTATTACGGTAAGAGAAAATTAGATACTAGATCACTAATAAAGAAAACCAATATTATATCTACTTTATATATCACTCCGTATCACTCCGTGTCACCATATAATTTTTTTTACATCAATTAATATTTAAATTGATATTCATCAATTATAGAGAAAATTTAATAATGTAAAGATTCTTAAAATAGAATAAATTAAATTTTTCATCTTTACCTGTCATTTATCTTATGAATTCATGTTTCATTTACTTTATATTACATCTCAATTTTCTTTTTGTTTGTCTTCTCTTACACAGTTGATAAAATCATTCTCCTCCACCACTATACTGTTCTTCACTGGTCTCCGATCACATTATTTTTTTTTTTTTTTCACAAGCACACCTAAATACCTTAGCGACATAACACATCCATGCTCTAGCAATCATGTATCTATATGTTGTCTTTAGTTTTGAAAATAGGATTAATCGAAAATCAGACTGAAAAACGATTTATTATTTTTAAATAATTGGAAAAAATTATTGAATTTTTTTATTAAATTAATTTTGATAAAAAAATTAAAAATTTTTAATATAATTTTATAAAATATATAATATATTTTAAATTTTTATATATTTATTATAAAAATATAATTTTGTTAAATTTGGTTGAATTCATCTTTAAATCTAAAATTCATGTTTCAATCCAATTTTTAAAACATTATTATTTTTATTTTATATTACTTTTCACATTTCTCCCTTTTTGTTTAAAAAATTTATTTTGTTATAATTTTATAAATAGATATCGATAGGTATATATGTTATTTAGAATATAAATAAACTATTTACATATATAAATTTAAATATTAAAATATATGGTAAATATAAAATCTGTATTTTATTTAATAGTTGTATGATGAAAATAAAATAAATAAACTATTTTATAAAAAAAATAGCACATATTTTATCAATTACTTTTATAACTGATATTAAAAGTATTTATATTATATTAGTTAACACTATAATCAATATAGTATCTATATTTTTTACATCATTTATAGAAATAACAATCTAAAAAATATTCATTTTTTATTTTAAAAAATATATAATACATAAGTTGGTAAAAAAAACTGATGTTGAAAACTACTACTTTCTACGTTAATAATATTTATCATCATTATTTTATGCTTTATTTTTTTGATGTAAAAAATGCACTAGTGAAAAAATAGCATTCTATGACGAGTTTTTATCACGGTCGTAATCCACCCGTCATAGTATGTAGCGCGGTGGCAATTTTGTAATAAAATCATAAACTTTCTATGTCGGGTAAATTTTAACCGACATAGTAAGTGGAAAGTTCACTTTCTATGTCGGTTAAATATTACCCGACATAGAAAGTTCACTTTCTACGTCGGGTAAGATTTAACCGACATAGAAAGTGAACTTTCTATGTCGGGTAACATTTAACCGACATAGAAAGTGAACTTTCTATGTCGGTTAAAATTTACCCGACATAGAAAGTGTCTTTGATGATGGGTGTTAGGGCAATCGACATAGTATCTTCTGTTTTACCACTTCACCCATAGCAGAGCTCCCCGTTCGCCTGTGTACGTTTCTCCCTACGCTCCATTTCATTTCATCAGTTCACCCATAGCAGAGCTCCCCGTTCGCCTGTGTACGTTTCTCCGCACCCACATTTGCTCGTCACGCCACCTGCCAACGCTGTACGTCGTGCCGCCTGCTGCTACTGTCGTTGGTGCCCGTCGCCTGTGATACGTTTCTCCCCACCCGGCTCTGCACGTCACGCCACCTGCCACCTCTGTAGGTCTTCAAGAGGTAAGTTTTCGTGCTTGCTTTAGCCATTGTAGGTTTACAGTATTAAATCTGGTATGTAATAATGTTGTCAAGAGAGGGAAACATCACAGGTGCCTTTAGCTAATTTAGAGATGTATTGTAAGTAGTTTAGTCATTTGAATGTGTTTCTGTAGGCATTCTTTCGTGATTTTGATTTTGAAAATTAGATTTGTGTTGTAGGATGAGTTGGTTGAGCAAAGCACTCAGGGATCATTCCACCCACATGGCCGTCAGGATATATTGGCAGTGGTCATTGGTACCCCAGAGCATCCTGGACGTGTTCGTGGTGCTGGACGAGGGGTGGGCATCAGACAGTACTTTGGTGCCCCATCTGTGGCAACTCCTTCTTTGAGGCATCTGAATGAGCAAGAGTTTGAGTCCCTCAAACAACAAATTAGGAAGGAGATTCGAGATGAGGTGTACTCTGACTTGAAGGCAGAGTTATTGAGCTCAATGCGAGCAGAGTTGGTATCTTTGTCCTCTCAACCTTCTGTCCCCGCACGAGAGGCATCCCCGATTCATGTCAGCACAAAGGAGAGTTGTGATGCTCCTAATAGAGGGGCAGAGGTTGCTCCTACTGACACTGCTGACTGTGAGTTGTATGTTGCGGGTCCTCCCGAGCATTTGGTGGCATACGGTACGTATTATATCTTTGACATGTATTTGGTACAATGTTAAGCATTATATAGTCTAAAATATTTTATCCTTTGTTTACCTTAGGGAAAATGTATGCATTGGGGTCAACCATCCACCACCAGAGTATTGGAGATGATATGATAAGAGTGGTGGTTGTAGATGTCCGGGATGTTGTCTGCCCAATCCATATTCCCACTGAAGAGGTTCAAACAAGT